GCTCAGGGGGTGGCGGTATGACGGTGAGGGGGCCAGCGCCGGCGCGTTGGTGGGTGGAGGCGCGCGCCGAGCCCCGGGCTGGCAACAGGCGAAGAGCGCGGCCGCTTCGGCCGGCCGCTAGCAAGCCAGGGTAGCAAGCTGGCCCCGACAGCAGGGCTCCCAACCCGACCAAAGAGATGGCTTATCAAGCGTCTGTCCACGCAAAGAGGCGCCCCGGGGCGGGAGCGCGCGCAGGCCCCCCACCTGCCAGGAAGCCGAGCGTCGCCACGAATGCCTTGTCAGCGCTGGCCTTGAGCTCCCCATCGCGCCCCACCAAGTCATACGCCCGCGCCAGCGCCGGCGGCACCGCCGGCGGCGCTGCGCCGCGGCCGCCGGTGAGCCCGCCGGTTATCTCCGACGACCGGCCGGCGGGGGTGACCGGGAAGCCGCTGAGAAGCCGCAGCATCGACTCCTCGTCATCCGTCAGGAGCAGCAGCGCGAGGCCGGTCTTGCCGGCGCGGCCGGTGCGGCCGACGCGGTGCTCGTACTGCGTAGCATCGGTCAGGCCGACCTGTGATTTTCGGGGGTGGGGTGTGTTTGGTGCATTTGATGGGCGGCGGTGCGTGAGTCATAGCGAGAGCCTGCGCAGCCGACGGGTGCGGAGCAGCCGCTGGAGACTTGCATGCGGGGTGGGGAGGCGGGGGCCGACGCAGACCAGCGCCGACGCAGACAGGGGCGCCCGGGGTGAACGTCGAACGAGCAAGCCTCGGGCGGGGCGCGGCGCTGACTGCGTGGCGCTGCACGCGGCGCCGTCTTGGGTCCCGGCCGAGGCGAGGCGCACGCGGGCCTGGCTAGCCGGCTGCCTGCCAGGCCCCCGCGAGATGTTCAGTTCTCGGGCGTCAGACAACACCACGCGGCAAGCTAAGATTGGAAACATAGAAAAACCCCACCTGCACCACAAGCGTCACGTCTGGGAAGTCCATGCCGCGCGCGATGACGTCACTGGCAAATAGCAGCACGCCGTTGCCCTTGGCAAACGCGGCGGTGGCGGTGTCGCGCTGCTTCTGAGACAGACGCGAGTGCAGGTCCAGGCACTGTGTTTTTGGGTGCGTGGGTGGGGGAGGGGGCGGCAAGGCGACGGATGATTACGAGGAAATGGGGATGTGCATATTTGCATGGGGGGGGGTGAGGGGAAGCTGAGGGTGGTGCAGCAGGGATGCAGCGCAGAAAATCCCGTGCACCAGGGCGTGGGACAGCTGGGCGCGCGGGCAGGCGCCCGCGCCGCGCGCGGCCCGCCTGTGGCGGCAACGGGCCACGGCGGG